CTCCAAGACAGGCTCTGGGCTCGTAGCACATTGGCTGGAGAAAAGGGACTGCCAGAGTCTTTAGAGGAAAAGGGCAAAACCAACAGCTGTATGCAGTAAAATGCAAGCTGGTTCAGGTAGACAATAGCCGGGCATCTGATCAGGCTGGTCCATCTGTGTCAGCCTCCTCCCACATGCACAGCTGCCAGACATGGAAAGCAGATGTGRCCCGCTCTGTTCCAAAAGTAGGTTTAGGTTTGATTCTTCCTGTGGACGCGAGGAAAGGCTCTGAGGTGCAGAACAGGAGAGCTTCCTGGTAATGTTCCTCTGGCAGCCGCTGCTTGGGAAACTTCATCTTATTTTGAAGCCTGATTAAATTGAGAGGAAAGGAGCTTTCACAGTCTGTCTCTTCTCAGAAYAGAGCCTGAGCAATGGAGCTTAAATCAAATTCAGCAGCAGCTGCGTATGCCCAAAGACTACGTGGCAAAGCAGTTTGATTCCAAAGGGCTGCCTTCCATCGGTGAGATGTTCYCCTCTGAACCCCCTCCCAGAGGAGGTAAAGAGCACTTAGTCTTGATTGAATATGGTCAAGTGCTCTGAATATTTCTGAGATGCAACAAAACTCTAGCAGCAATTTCTGTGAGAAACACCTGTAGAGGTGTTTAATGCCTGCACTGATGGCTCTGCAGCTTGTAGGTCTCTCTGCTGCCTTTCACAGTGCCGATGAAGGGAGGTGCAGACTCCCCTCTAAGCAGCATATTTACCCAAGGGAGCATCTCACAGAGAGAGAGGATCCTTTGCACTTGGGTCCAGCAGACAAGGGGGACAGGAATAGGTTTGTGTTCTTGTGAGGGCTTCTGTAAAGAAGTTGGTGATAGACTGTCATCTTTAACAGAGATCACACATCCCRGGGTCAAGGTCCACACACAACCTGGGGCCCTATGTGGAAAGGTCCAGCACTCTCCACCCAGGGGAGCTCAGATAAGTGCTCCACTGTGTAAGTAATCTGCAGAGGAAGGGCTTTATGAGCCCCCAAACAGCACAGGAAAGTCTTTGATATTTTTGCAATAGTTTTTGAACTGCTTCGAGTTTCACTTTCTCAKGCAGACTGTGTCCAGCTAAGCTGAGTTTACAAGATGTACTTTACGGTTTGCTTTCAGACACAAAAAAGGTAGTTCTCCATATTTCTGTAATCTGATTTATAGCCCGTGTGTCAGTGACATCACCGTATCTGTCAGTGTGAGAGATGCATTTTTATCATTTTCTCCATTACAGTGAGAGATAGGTGTTTTACAAATCAGCCAACCATAAAAGTAAGGCCGCCACCAAGAGATATATCAGAAATTCAAGTTCATCTCCTCCAGATTGCCGTTATTCTTTGCCAGCTCGATTTCACAGGACACTTGTAGCTGCCCTGATATACTGCAGGATGGAGACCTGCCAGGGATCTAAGGGAAATACAGTCCTGCAGGGCTTGCCAGTTCTCTCCTGCTTTGCTGTGTATGCATGCACACTGAGGAGTAGGAGCAGCTAATTCCAGACTGTTTACATTGGACCTTGTCTTGTCTGCTTGTCCCCAGCGCAGCTGTGTGACCAGATTCCCTCTCAGTTCTCTTTCTTTCTCATTAGGATCTGTATTATTAATCCTTCTATGTTTTGCATATTCCTCCAGAAACCTTGCAGAGAGTCACCTCAAAAAGGAAGAAATTAAGCTCAACCTCATTTTCCTTCCTTGTGATGGAGAAATACAATGAGAAAACTGTTCTGATAATSTTGGTATAAAAGGTCTTGGTTCTTAAGACTGAAAGTTCAGAAATAAACTGGCATTGCAAGAATGAGAAGGATGAAAGAATGAACGAAGAAAGGATGGAATGGTTATTGAGGAGAGATTTTTTGGGAGGCAGATTGCTAAGAGCATTGGTTTTTAGTGTATTTTTTTTAACACTTTGAGCAGTTTTCCATCAATTCACATCCACCTGTCTCCTTTAGTCAAAGCCCTATATCCTCTAGTTGTCCTTGCAGTTGGTTGTAGCTGGTTGAATTTTATGGTTAAATATCAGGACTACATATATATAAATACAAGTAATAATGTAYGTGATGTTGCATTACACTGGAGAATTATACTGATCAGCACCTTTTTTCATATGTGCTTCCATACTAAAACCTGAGGGCTAGCAGCATCTTCTGCACTGGCTGTAAATAGCTGGGGTTTCAGTTCTCTGTGAAGCACACACTGCTGCTAAACGGGTGCCTCATTTTGCATAACAAGACTGGAAAAATCCCTAAGATAATAGGCCATGCTGATCATTTTACTGATGTGAAAGTTTGTGGTCATGAAGCTCTTTTGTGCTGGAAAACCCCTACAAAAGTGGTTGCATCRTGGGGCTGTGCCTGTTTATCTTGGCAGTGTCTGTGCGGTCCTACAGACAGACTCCAGATCCTGGCAGGAGGATGAGCCAATTCAGGATAGTGGAGTATTTCTTTCACATCAAGAAAAGCCAATAAATCATTGGTGAAAGGAGGAAAATGTACATGTCCCTTAGAGCCTTTTTGAATTTAGCAGGATGTTGAAAATGGAGCTTAATTTAAGATCACATTTTCATCCAGCTGCATAACAAGTAACCTGGGCAAAATACATCTCAAGGATGTGGGAGTTTGCCAGTAGCCCAAAGGCTTTGGCTGTGTCTGCTGTACAGACAGCACCAAAATCTGACTTGCTGTTGGTCCCTCTGCCTTCAGCGTGTAACATCTCCATCTGCAGCACATGGTGCCTGGACAGCTTTGAGGACCAGCTCTTCATCTTCACTAGGGGATAAGGAACCAGAAAGGGAGGCCAGAAGTTCAGCACAGTGAAATGAGAATGTGAATGAGCATTACAGAACTCATTAACAAAATTAACCAGCATCTACCTACCTGGCCTACCAAGAACTCGGTCAAACTCACGGTGTCAGGCACCAGTCCAATGGGAACAATCTAATCATAAAAACACTTGATTGCTTAACACCAGATACTAGACATAGTCCCAATTGCATGTGCTCAGTGAACCTACATGAGCTGTAAATCTTCCATCTCCTGTGTGCCAAACTAACCCAAGAAAGCCATGAAGCCAACTGGAGAAACCCCTGTCCAACCATGTTTGGCTGCTTGGGCCAGCARCACAGAGAATGAAGAACTATTGGCAGGATCTCTTGGCAACTTAATACAAATTAGTGCCTTAAAATCCATCTACACTCAAAGATAATTTACTTGTCACTTGAAGTAATTAGTTCCATCTGTCTGAGTGCAACTTTGGATGTTAGGTGGGCATTTTTGCCTGGGTACAGATGACAGTTTGTCATTGCTCTGCTTGTGAAATCCAGTGTCAGTGACGCTCATGGAAAGAAATGCTCCTTCTCCCAGGGCTGTCAGCACATTAGGTAACTCCTGAGCACTGTCAGGGGCAGATGGAAACAGAGCAGTTAAAAATCAGCTAGTGAAGCAGTTGTGCCCTGTAGTAGAGGTGCAGCCCAAGCAAGGAGCTGTGGAATTCATGCTTGAAACCTCCGTAGGGCTAACGTATGYCTGGATCTCCTGCACTCCTTTTTTCCCCTGCAATACTACATATTGCCCCTTTCTTCCTCATTTACTGCCACTGTGATCCTGGCAGACTTTGAGGCAGTGACACTTTTTATTCCCAGCCCTTCTCCTCTGACCAAGGTGTCCCCGTACAAGCACTGGGCAGCAATCCCAAATGAAGGGATGAGTTTCTGAGCTGTGTCATCATCCCCCTCTGTTGAAGGGTGTATGGGGGTAGCTGTGCAGGGAGCATTATCTTTATTCACGGGCCATGCAGGTAGGGACCTCAGGGAAAGCAGCAGGAGTGATGCATGCACTCAAAGTCCTGGGAAGCAAGCTAGCAGCTCCTGAGAGATATAATTACACCATTATTTTCTCTCACTCCCTCTCCTTTTTTCTTCAACTGAACAAAATATTTTTCCATTTATTTGTTATCAGTGCAGGGAGTGAATATACTGGAAGGCACCTGCCGTTCTGCTCTACTACCCTCTATTAACTTCCTAAGCACTTGGGAACCTTGGGCTCGACTGCATGAAATAGCAGGGAAACTAATTAGGCTGATAAAACTCAGTGATTTAGTCAGGCACCCTAAGAAAAGGAAAGACTTTTTACTTTTTTTGTGTTATACTCATGGTTGCTCTCAAGTTCTTCACTGCCTGCCCTTCCAGCACATGGATCAGAATTAGTTACAGTCAAAGAAAAAAGGTGCCTGCCAGAAGCAGTGACGTTTCCTTTCTTTCCCCAGCTGTGGGGTCTCCTGGGTCATAGCTTGATTTAAGCCCTCTTGTCTGCACGGCTCTTCTCACCCATGCAGGTCATGTCTCACAGGAGAGGCAATTTACTCTGAGTCCTGAACAACCTCAGCCACAACACAGGGACAGTTTGGGGAAAAACTCTCTGCTAATGTGACTGTCACCACACTCCCTGTGTCCATACAGTCCAAGTCATACTAGCTCATCAAGCCCAGGTTTTCAGCATTTCTGTACTATCTGTGACAGATTAAATGTTTTGAGGATGTCTTGGTGTTCTTCAGCACTTGCCAGTGCAGGAGCGGGGCTGAGGTGTGTGAGGGAGGTGGGGACTGCTGAAAACGAAGCCTTTAGCCCCAAGCAGCTGCTCCCCACGGCCGAATATGCAGGGCCTGCTGCAGTCAGCATATGGCAAGACTTGCAAAGAAAATTTAGATCCAAAGGCTACTGCTAATCAGTATAATCTGTAATTAAAGAAGCAGTAATCGAGTGAGATTACCAGCCTGATCTTATTACCAGCCCCCTGCACTGCCAGTCATTCAGTGCTACACTCAGCATTAATTAAACACCATCGTGCGGTGGCAGGGCCGGGGGTTGCTCACTGCTGGCCCGCTCGCGCTGCCAGCCCTGGATCCCAGCGCAGGCCTTCCTGGGAAGTCCAGGGCTCCTCATTCAGCCCAAATTCATCCTTGCTTTTATTTATATCTTGCTTTGCAGATGGGAAATGCGTCCAAYGCCTCAGTGTTCACCTCCACCTTATCAGAGAGAGAAGACCTGATTTTTGGCACGCTCTATTTAGTCTTTGGTAAGAAAAGAGAGCCTACCTGTCAGAAGCCTTTCACGATCACTGATGCTTCCACACAAATGTGCAGTCTTTTCCAGGTTAACTACATTGGCCTTTCCCATGTTAGCCCTTCTCGCATTAGCAGAAAGTGTAATCTTGTCAAAGCTTGGTGACTACGCTCCCCCTCTCACAGGGACTACAAGTGCCATCCATAAATTTAAAATTTGGAATGGGGAAGAACAACGTTTGCTGACCTTGCTGCAACTCCRACCGCAGCCACCTGATGTGGGGCAGTCTGGGACTCTCTGTTAGCGTTGCCAGTCTCACGACTACTGAAGATGATTTGAAWGTCCTCCTGGCCCTTGCGTTTAGCAGAAGATGCTGGTGACTGTCCTGCKATTTGAAGCTTCTGGCATCTGAAAGAAAACAGACAAAGCAGAGGACTTAGGGCACGGTCTGAGAAGGCCTAACCCCTGTCCATGTGGGCCAGAAGTAAATGATGGGCAGGGAGAAGCCTTCTACACTCCAGGCAATTGTGCAAAATGCCAGGGGATTCTTTCAGTCCAGACTAGCAGGGAAAAGAAAGGATGCAAAGGACTCATTGTGTCTTGGGACCAGGGCCAGGAAGGGTCTCCTGTTGTAGTTGGATGGTTCTTTGCTCCACAATACACAGTGTGTAAAACCAGGGCAAATAATCCCCCCACCCAGCTGCAGTCCTGCAGACAAGCCCCCTGCCCTTGGGCATGCAAGGACAGGCAGGCGAGAGGCAGCGGAGCTGCTTTCTGGTGCACAGACCACTCCGTGTACGAGTCCACCGAGGTGGGCTGTGCACGTGAGGAGCCCAAATTGTGTGCTGCTCCGAGGGAGGGCTCCCATCTCCCTTGGGAGGGAATGACACTGTTCCTGGAGGTACCTAAAGCTTCTAGGGGATGATAAAGCTATTAAAACATATGTAATACAGATGTGAAAAAGGAAGCAGACTAGCTCTGTGGGAGAGTTTCTCATGAGGCTGGAAATGAGCACAAACAGATCTCTACCCTGCAGCAACTCCACAGTCATGCATTTGGCCAGGTCCTGTGTTTATGAAAGGAACTTTTGTGTTGCCCACTCAGCAGCTTTGGAATCTAATTGCTCCCACAATTTTTAATTTGTAACCTAATATATTAGGAAGAAACTCTAGTTCTGCCTAACCTGTTCCATCAACATCAAAGATTCCTCTTCTGAGGACACAGAAAGCTCTTTTCAATGAAAGTTCAATTGCATTAAAAAAAGAGAGCAAGCCCTTGTTATAAAATTTTAATAACTAGTGTTATTTTAAACACATTAATAGCAAACAAAGAGCCTTCCTATGTTTAGTGTGGATTTTTCTTGATCTTCATAATGCCTTTTTTCTTGTTTATTTTTTTTACTGTGATACTGGACAACATAGACTCACACTAGTGACATTGCCAGGAAGAAATTAAAAATGCGGATGGGCTCAGCTCCCTGGCCTCACATCAGAGGAACGATGACACAGAGCTCCTGTTATTTATCTAGCTGGAAGGAAGTGGCCCCCTTGCCCCTTCCAGCTGCAAGAGTCTGGCTGGATCTGCACCTGGAGGATTTTTCAGCTTCATCCCATTGCARCTCTTCTTCTAAGAGCCTCTGTAGGATCTCCTCAGGGAGAGAAGGGGATCACGTGCAATTCAGAGCAGCCCCAGATGCACTCACATGTCTGTGCAGGTCCCGTGGGTGCCTTTTGCCCACTCTGCAGTGCCAAGATCTGGAACCTCTTTCCACGCTCTGCAAACAGCTCTGGTATTTGCTCCCAGGACTGCTGGGCAGCCAGCAGAGCCCCACCTCACTGGGCAGCTCACTGGGCAGCCAGCAGAGCCCCAGGCCTATCTCTTTGATCGCTTTCTTGCCAGGTGTCCCCAGCCCATGGAAAAGGCATCACGTTATAGCAGAGGAGCTTTATCCATCATGCCTGACCCTAGTGTTTACAGATGTCCCAGGAGAAAAACCTGCTCACGCTTAAGGGTGCCCAGGAGCAGTCCTGGCTCTGCTTGTGTCCAGCTGCCCTGCGAGTCCCACCCTGCAGCCTGCCCTAGTGCYTAGCAGCTGGGGAGGGAGCACTCATTCCCGTGGGAATTGGGGTGCCCTCCCAGCACCCCTGCTTCTCCAGCGCGGGCTCAACATGCACCCAGGCCTGGCAGGGACGCAGCAGCCCGGGGAGCTGCACTCTTGYCTATGGGCACTGCTTCTCTCTGCCCTTTCCTCAGGCCTTGTGTCGCTCTCCGGCAACTCGCTGCTCCTGCTGGTGGCTTATCGGAAGAGGTCCATGCTGAAGCCTGCGGAATTCTTCATCGTGAACCTGGCCGTCAGTGACCTGAGCATGACAGTGACCCTGTTCCCCTTGGCCACATCGTCCTTCTTTGCACACAGGTATCCTGTGGAGAAGTTGTGCTGGATGATGGTCCTGGAGGTGGTCAGGAGATGGGGCATAAGCCTTTGCTGTTGTGTTCAGTGTCTTGGCACATCGTGTTGAGGAAGGCAGCATGAAACCAAAAAACTAAAAGTCCCACCTCCCCTTCAGAGTCTGGGAAAGTCATTTCCTCCATTTGTGCTCCATCTTTAAGGGAAGTTTAGTGGGGGCTACCATCCCTGCTAAAGCGTTTTGCAGAASGGCAGCAGGCCAGAAGTACCAACTGAAGCTGGGGCTTCCTTGCAGCTGGAAAACGAGTCTGCAAGTGCCACATAAATCAGCTGCTTTGGATGGGTTGCCCCGGTGGGCAGGGTGCRGGGTCACAGTGTGGGCACTGCATGGGTCAGCGCTGCTCCCATCTGTGTCCACGGCTGCGATGCTCGGGGAACCGCAGCCGGGTGCGGAGCTGCTCAGACGGGCAGGTGCAGAGCAGCCTTCCCAGCTCTGCGCCCTGCACGGGCACGTGTTGAATACAGCRTTTTCCCTAAGCAGAGACTGCTGGAAGATCCCTGTAGAGCTGAGCACTGGGGCTGTCAGCTCCCTCCGCGGGCAGAGGGAAGAGGCTGCTTCACCGGGGCCCTTGCTTTGCAGGTGGCTCTTCGACCGCGCAGTGTGCACCATCTACGCCTTCTGCGGKGTGCTCTTCGGCCTCTGCAGCCTCAGCAGCCTGGCGGTGCTCAGCACCGTTTGCTGCCTGAAGGTCTGTTACCCAGCGTACGGTAGGTGCTGGGCCCTGCTCTGCGCTGAGGCCCCTCTCTGTTCACTTAACCCTTCCTCCTCTTACAGACCAGAGCAGCCTCTCCTGGCAGAGCTTTGCCCCTCGGTGCCTATTCCTGAGTGGGCAGCAGACTTGGAGCCTCCTGTCTCTTACACCATCCTCCCCGTCCCCATGGGTGACATGACGGGGATGCCACCCTCACCATCCTCCCTGCTAGAGCTTATGGAGACCCAGCTCAGTTTGAGGAGCCGGGGATACGGGCAGGACTCTATAGCAGTCGCTGCTTGCTTTGCTCTGGGGTTCAGAAACACCATCCAGAAGAGTGTCAAAGGGCTGTCTTCCTCTGCAGAGAAGTGCCAGCTGCTGCATCAGAGGATGATTCCAGCAGAGCAAGGCAGATCGCAGGGCTTTGAAGGTCCCTCTGCAGGTGGATGTGTGCTCAGGGCGCAGCAGACTCTGCTACCCCTGCTTTGTCCTCAAGGAACAGAGGCCTCTCAGGCACCTGCACACAGCCCCCAGCAGAGCGCCAAAGAGAGGGAAGGAACGATAAAAATCGTCACTGACCTTTCAAAAGCAGCCCRAGGTACCAAGGGCTTTTCATGGGGTGGTTTTTGCTCTCTGGTAACTGCTTTGCTTGAAAGAAAAACTTTACTCCCTCAGATGCTGGAAGTTTTAGCTCTTTACAGGGAGCCCTTACAGGGCTGGAGGATTTTGCATTTGATGGTGCACGGGTCAAAGAGCAAAAAAAGCCTCTTTGCAGCTTGGCTTTCTGGGGAGAGGCTGCAAGGAGGCAGTGACCGGAGCGGGGAGGCTGCCCTCATTCCCACCATCCCTCTGCTGCAGGGAACAGGTTCTCTCCGTCGCACGCCGGCGTCCTGCTGCTCTGCGTCTGGGCCTACGCGCTGCTCTTTGCCACGGCGCCGCTGGCCGAGTGGGGCAGCTACGGGCCCGAGCCCTACGGCACCGCGTGCTGCATCACGTGGAACGCCGCCAGCCGCCAGGCCGTGCTCTACATCCTGGCCCTCTTCGTCTTCTGCTACCTCCTGCCCTGCCTCCTCATCCTCGTGTCCTACGCGCTCATCCTGTGGCGGGTGAAGGGCTCRCGCAGGGCCGTGCGGCAGCACGTGTCTCCGCGGGGCCGCGCGCCCGGCGTGCACGGCCTCGTCGTGAAGGTGGGGACGGCCGCGCGCGGGGCCCGCGCGGGAGGGTGCCCGGGGATGGCGCCCACGGGACGGGGCCTCTCGCACTGTCGCCACTCCAGCACTGACTCCACGTGCCCCTCGGTGCCGCACGCGGCGCTGCCGCGGCCCTGCTCGGACCCGAGCGCCGCTGAGCTGCGGCTCCCGGGCACGCAGGCTGCTCTGCGCCCTGGAGGAGCTCTCCAGGTGCTTGCGTTGGTCCCCATAAGAACATATTTCTCCTCATTTAAAGCCATCGGTGGAGGAGTTTTCATTTTAAATTACACTGCGAAAGATCATAAAAAGAGCTTTCGTGACTCACTGTTCTCCAGACTATGAGCTAATGCTATAATTTACCAAGGATGTGTCAAAAAAGTTGGTACCCTTTCAAAAAAAAAAAAAAAAAAAAGAAAAGAAAAGAAAACAGCTTGCAAGGCTCACTCACTCAAAGGAGATGCTTGTTTCTGATCGGGAGATGGGTTCAGCCTGCACTCTGGGGCACAGATAACAGGGCAGGTTTTGGGGGATACCGAAGGCTGCGGGCTGCTCCTCCAGAGCACTTTGCAGCGAGGCCTTGGGAGCATCGTCTGAGAGGATCCCRGAGGCTCCTGACCCCAGCACTGGCTCCGCTGGCTCCTGGTGTCCTGGGCAGCTGCCGCAGGGCTGGGTGACRGGGTAGCTCCGGGTGCTGCGGGAGCCCACAGCGCCGCTGTCTCCTTCTCTTCCAGCTGAGCGTGGCCGTGTGCCTGGGGTTCCTGGCTGCCTGGACTCCTTACGCCATCGTCGCCCTCTGGGCCGCACTGGGGGACGCCAGCCGGGTGCCGGCCCTGGCCTTCGTGCTCTCAGCCGTCTCCGCCAAGTCCTCCACGCTCTACAACCCGCTCGTGTACCTGCTCTTCAAGCCCAACTTCCAGAGGTTCCTCCCCAAGGCCGTCCTGCTGCCGGGAGCCGTGCGCGCCGCGCTGTGCTGCGGGTGCCCGCACGCCCCGCTGCAGCCCGGCGCCGACGGGCCGCGCTTCTCCCCGCGCCCCGGCGGCCGCCGCGGCGCCTGCCAGGGCTGCCACGACCCCTTCGAAGGCTTCGGCAGCTACCCCAGGTGCTACAAACTCTCGGAGCGCCCCGAGGCGGCGCCCGGGCCCGCTCCGCTGGCCATCCTCAGCGCTGGCGCCTGCCAGCCCGGCCTGCGGCGCTCGGTGCAGCTCATGGTGCTCGTCTCAAGGCCGAGGTCGGGYCTGGCTGCCACCAGCGCCGCGCACAAAGGGCTGCCCTCCGACATCGCCAGRGACCTTCTCTGAGCGGCCACTGGGGCCTCGGGCACCGGCTCTGCCCTAGCGCTATATTGTGGAAAAAATCCAAATGCAACATTCCTGTCATCTATGTATCCCATGGGTCCCAAGCACCTTCTGCAGATTGATATGAGAATTTAAGACCAACTCTGCCTCCTCTTCCAGTCTGGCTCTTGCTATTTGGAGCCGATTATTTGTACTTGCAAGAAAACAGACCCCAGTGCCTGAAATCCGGCCAGGGTGCAATTCCCGGCTGCAGTTCCTGCTGTCGTTGGCTCTCAGGGCCCTTGGCCTTTGCTCTTCCATCCTGGTGCTCTGATGGGCAAGCACGAGCTTGGTGCTTTACAGGAAAGGTGTCTAGCAAGGAAGTGGGACTTCACAAGGCAATCCCAGCTCCAACTCCTATGGCCTCAGCCGATCACCTCCTTTCACATCCGGGAGTGGGATAACACTATTCAGCTACCTCACTTGGGATTAGGAAGTAATTTTATATACCTCGCAAGAGATTACTCTCTGTGCGGGCTGCAATTCCCCACTCCCTTGACTGCAGTGCAGCCCCAGTACAATCATGTTCATTTAAATGGGAGCTYCTCTTTAGAGTAAGGATTCGAGGTCAAAATCACCCCAGTGCAAGCAATGCCAGCCCCCTTGCATGGCTCTGCAGGCAGGGAATGGCAGAACTGCGGCTGAGCAGTGTCCCAGAGAGAGGCCACGGTGCTGGGGTGGCTCCCGCGAGCCCGGGGGCATCTCRCCGCACCCACACTAGCACCCAGGGACCGGCGGCCAGGACAACAGCAAGCAGGTCACGCGCAGGTGCCATTTCCAGACCGGTTCCGAGCGAGGAGATCCAGGGCAGGAGATCCAGTGCCCGGTTGGACAGCGTGGAACATGTGGAGAGCGTGAAGCAAAGCAGGAAGGTGAGCTGAGGCKGCCGAGCCTCCTGCGGCAGGGCTGGCACTGGCAGCAACGCTGCAGGCCCTGCAAAATCCTGGGGAACCTGTAGGACTTATCTGCAGAGCAACTGAGCAGACGGGAGCAAGAGAGATTGTATGTGGGGGACAAGGAATGCTTTATGGATAGACAGAAAAAGTGCATTTTTTGGAATGAAATCCTGCCCCAGTCGAGGAGAAGGAAGGTGCCCCAAAGGTGGCACGAGGAAACCGCCAGCCTCTGTGTCTCTCTGGAGCRTTCATCATCCCTCAGAAATGGTACATTTTAAAAATAAATTCACTCATGTAAACTCAATCCGATTCCGTGCTAGCCTGGCAGCTGCGCTCAGGATGTGAGGAGCTACAGCGAGCACTCCTGTCCCTGGGGACCTTGGGGATGAACGGGCAGTGACATCGGGTCAGCCTGGTGGAAGGTCCTGCTCAGTGGCTGGACCATGGGGCAGTCGGGGCCCTGCAAACCTCTCCTGACAACCGCGGCCCTTTCCCGCCAGCTGCTCCGGCGCGGAGCAGCGCAGCCGCCCATCCTGTGGCTCTGAGGAAAGAGCCCAGGGAGCGTTTCCTTCCCTCTGGAGCGGGCCCAGGGAGCGTTTCCTTCCCTCTGGAGCGGGCCCTGGGAGCGTTTCCTTCCCTCTGGAGAGGGCCCAGGGAGCGTTTCCTTCCCTCTGGAGCAGGCCCTGGGAACGTTTCCTTCCCTCTGGAGCGGGCCCAGGGAGCGTTTCCTTCCCCCTGGAGCGGGCCCAGGGAGCGTTTCCTTCCCTCTGGAGCAGGCACCGGGCAGGCAGGGTTGCCCCAGGCTCAAGGGGCGGGAGGATGAAGGGCTGTCGCCTCCTGGGGGCTCTGTGTCCGCAAGGCCCTCACAGCTCACCAGAGCCAGGGGTGCGCAAGGAACCGGGGTTTGGGAATCAGAAATCCCAGCCAGAGGGGCCAGGGGGCTGATGGAGGCTGGAGAGGCCCCTGCCCTTCACCAGGCAGCCCTGGCAGGGCCGGTGCCGCGGGCAGGGGCTGCCCCTGTCCCCACGGAGCCCAAGCTAGGCCGCAGTCAGGCCTCACGGGGCTGACGATCAAACAAATGATTAAACTGCATGTTTCACACCAAACTGGCTCGCCTATTACAAAAATACCATGTAAAATGAAAGCTCTAACAGAGCACCAGAGCATTTCAGAGCAACTTACTGTGGAGCGCAGGCAGGAGGGCGCCGAGGGTGAGGAAACTGCCCAGCCTTGTTTCCCTCATAGAGCTGCTTCTTAACAAAGTAGCTGCTTCTTAACAAAACAACCCCAGCTTCCCTTCAGCTTAACTGCCTCTGAGTGTTTAATCAACTCTAGCTGCATCAATTAATTGCATTGATTTAACATACCAAACAGCCCCGGGCCCGCGGCCACAGAGCGGCCACCGGGTCGTGGTAGAGAGGTGCCGGGGCCTGGTCGGGCCATGGGCACCCACCAGCAGCCTCCTGTCCCTGGGGCACTGCTCTCCTCGGTGAAGGGGTAAAATAAGTGTGTGTCTCCTGTAGGGTTGTGACTTAAAAAAAAAAAAAAATATATATATATATATATATATGTATGTATTTTTGTGATTAAACCGAAGGCGAGCAATCTGGAGGCCTTGGCTGTCAGCTGGTGAGTCACCAAAGCTGAGGACAGCCCTTAGGGTCACTGCCTCCAGCTGGGACACTTAGGAGCACTGACCTGACACCAAAGTCTTTTTAAGAAAGCAGAAAAGTGAAGTTTATGTTGCACTTGCACTGATTTGCATGTGCTACCAAGCTAGGACAGAGCTGCTAGTGCCTGCGAGGGAGGATTAGAGTTTAAACTTATTTTGATAAGGTAGAAAATGATTTAAGGTAACTTCAAGGCAATTCAATAAGGGTAAAAATGATGTAGTATGCTTAGAAAAGTAAAATTAAGTGAAGAAATCCAAAATGGGAAATGACTGTCATAGAAAAGTCGAGGGCATTTATAAGTGAATGTAAAAATCAGTCATTATGGTATAGATTTCTTCTGTGGATTTCAAAATATCCAAATACCTGCAAAATTTATTGAGGGAAAACAAATAAAACTTAAGTCCAAGTTTTGATAATGTATTACACACTTTCTTAAGCTTTAGTATAGTTACTTTTTAAATAAAACAAGCCAGACTTAAATATAATTGCATCRAAGTGATTTCACTAATTCTAGCTGTTAATCAGTTAATTGCTTCACTTTTCATATTAATACTCAGGAAACAACTCTCAAAATAGATGCTAATGTATTTTCTCAGATGGCCAGGAGATGGCAGGAAACCATCAATTTATCTTGAAAGAAGTTACCCTATGGCTGTTCTCCAGTAAGACTTTTCATCCTGTTCACAAATGACCTCTTTTGCCAGAATAACAATATAAATTAGTGGCTATTTTGTATCTCAGCATGTGGGTCAAATATCCCTAAGACCACCAGAATCATATCTGGGGCACTCGAGCAATGTACACAGAGCCTGTGGTGCCAAAGAAGCTCCTAGAAACCTTCCCCACCTTCCACCAGCTCCTGGACTAGACAAGAAAAAGTGGTTCAAGGGGTCAATCCAACACAGTCATCCCCATTCCAGCCAGCACATGTGACTCTTATCTAGTGCAAGACAAGGACGGAAGAGTTGGACAATGCCTGCTTGTCTCCTGCAGATAAACAGCACAAACATTAGAGAAAATGCTAAGTGAGCGGCCGTGGCGTCTATCGGCCTTGACAGTACAGACAGATCCTCACTGGGTGAGGATTATTTAATCCATAATTAAATCTAGAGTTGTCAAGAAAGAAAGTCTGTAAGATTCTTACATATATTTTCTTTCCTAAGGAGGAAACAAGCAGTGATTTTTCTTCTGGTCAACACCAGAAATCTGAGTTCATGCCTCATCCAGACTCCCTCCAGCCCCTTTCAGCTCTGCGAGGTTCCACACTATAGGCACACACAAGGAAGGAAATGTTTCGTGCTTGATTAGCAGAGACATTCCTTGAGTACCACAAAAGGAACAGGGAGAGCAGAAACCTGTGAAGAGAGACACTGTTTTGAAAACCTGCTCAGACAACACAGACTTYGGATTCACAAACATATTCTTGACCTTTTATTAAACCCTTGTAGCAAAACCAAACCAAAAATATTATTTTCAGAAACAAATATGTACACTTACATGCTTTACACCTGAAATTTCGATACCAAATTTCAACAATGAATATGCTATCAAGAAAACTAGGATTGGCAGTGAGAAAACACCTGCATATGTAACCTCAACAAATGTATAAGAAATAAATACGTGTGCTTAGGTTTATGCAGTTTTGAGAGAACTCACTGTGCCACAGAGAAAAAGTGAAATGATGCTAATGATCTGGAAACTGAAGGACAGAAAAAACAAACGAGCAGGACAACTTAATGGAAAATGGCACTTCCCAACCGAAAATGCTTCAGCAATGTGCTTGTGACTTCAAGAAATTCTTCAGAATTCACTTCATGAATTTACACATAACAGAAGAAGTGCTTCCAAACATTTGAAGCCAAAGTGCTAGACAGGGAGCAACCACCAATTATAGAAACCTAAATACAACTGGTTGAAAGCGGAGAAAAAAATGTGCTTAAAAAAGAATTACAGAAGCAGTTCTGCACTTTGCTATACCATATCCTCCCCCCAAGTCATGCCACAGTCAGTACTGTGGATTACACTATTTCAGAATAAAACCCAAAAACCACAGAACAGAAACCCAGAAGTTTTTGAATTTCCAAACCACTAGTTTTAAGAGGTGCTTCCTTATACGTGCAGCATCYGCATTTTGTCAAGGTACTTATTACCAGTTTTGGATTTGTAACGTGCAAAATCCATAAACTACAAATTAATTTCTGACATTCTCTTACTAGTGCTGAAACAAATTCACAGTACATTAGGACTCTTCATGCTATGAATGAGTATTATAAAAGGTAAAGTGCAATTCATCCTGTTTTGAAGAGTCACTCAGTGAACTCAGCATACATTTACAGCATACTTCACACCAGGAAGATCCCACATTCAACAATGTCTTTAGTTCAAGTAGGTGATTCTGCTTTTTAATAGGTGGCATAAAATCTACTCTGCTGTAAAATCTGAAAAATTTTGGCTTCGGTTCAGCTTCTGACAGTGTTAAGAAGGTCTCAGTCACTCACTAATAATATAAAGAACAGCAGATCTTTTTAATATCTGAAGTCTGAAATCAGAAGGTTCATTCTGAATGTTCCACTTTTGTGCAGTCCAACTCTTTTTACTTAAATCCAGTCATTGATGCCCTAATGATAAACTCTGTGTACTCCTTCCCCTGTTTGCTATAGCAGCTCTTGCTCATCATCTTCAGATCCTGAGGGTCCTTGTCGTACTTCTTCATACCATTTGTTTGTGAGGGTTTTCATTTGTATGCGCCCATGATGCAAGTCCTAGGGCAAAATAAAACCAGAACACTTGTTATTTAGCTACAAAACTATTAGTGTATCAGACAGAGCAAGACAGAAAGACTAGTTTAGTACATGTCTCAAGAAATAATCTGATCCCGAGTGTGCAAAATATTTTGCTTCTTACCAGGAAATATCTATCAAATACTCAATCCATCAGTACTTTATCCAGAGGTGATATTTTAGATGACAGGTATTCACTTGTGTTTTTCTAGACAGGGATGCTCTGAGAATTTCAACAATCACAATTTTGTCTGGATGGCCTGTCTTTGAACCTCGCTCCCCTCTACATGTCTCTGGAGACAGTGGGAAGGTTGTGGCCTATTCTGTGAGTCACATACTTATTTTTCCGGCCTTTAGTTGCTATCTGGATAGGAACCTGTGCTTTTGACTAGCCAATTATGAATCCAGTACTTGCTCTGGTTTCTTACTTCTTTTTGGTTTTGCAAAAAAAATCCTTTTGGCTTTTGTGTGAAAATGCTGTGTCAGCATGGCCTGTAATTCTTTTGGAAAGAAGTAYGTCTGAGCAGGCAAGGAAGCTGGCATGAGCATACGTTACACAAAATGATCAATTCCACAGCTGAAATGCTGGAATTTATGGTGAATTGGGAAAACATTGAAGTCTGTGGCTAAGTAATCTCAGATTTCTAGTGGCCTGGCTTGAACGCAGAGTTTTCACCTCTCAGAACCCCTGAGCATTAAGTTATCTCCATATTCCGCCAGCTGTCACTTTGCATTCACAGCTTTTAAGTCTATCTCCCTGCGAGAAAGTCTAGGAAGCAAAATTTGCGATCCTAGTGCAAAACTGCAAGATAAAATGTGCACACTGCAGAAARCTAACAGCTAAAAAAATCACAGGACTTTGAACAGCAAGTGGCAGCAACAATTTGTGTGACAGCACTTTGAAAGTGCATGGCAGCAGATATTTCTAGCAAGTTTGGCTTTAGAAGCTCTATGAGGTACAATTTTAGACTAAGTTGCCAAATTCCTGATAAGGCAACACGGTTTGTAGTAGTCTGTAAGATTAAAGCTGAATCAGTAGACTCATAAATGCTTTAAAATTTAATTGTGGTAGCTCTGAATGGTGCTCAATTAATTCAATTGCAATTTTACAACACAACTTTTCATTACAGATGCTTTACATATGCATGGTATTATATGCCTCACTTTCTAAAGCAAAAGTTGCAYGGCTGCTTTACAAGCCTGGAATGGGACGCAGTGAAACAACCACCACACTGTGCCTTCTCTTCAAGAAAAGAAGCACTACTTACTTCTTGTGTGAGCCTTCTTGTGAAGAAAGGATTCAAATACTTGGCATCAAACCACATAAACCCTTTGAGGTCCTGGCGTTTTATGTACTGGGCTTCGTACTCCTCCTCTGTAAGTTCTGACAAATGTTCTGATTCTATGGTATTCCCCTAGAATAAAAACACAAAAGTGCTGGAATGACTACTAGATATAGAGCAGCTGTTCCCTTCAGTTTGCTTCAGCCCACTCTGCTCTCTCCCTTCTCAGAAACAATTCCCACGCTGCAACAAAATGGAAATTATCACCTCAGCCTACCAGGGCTTCTGGCCGTATGAATATTTTCAGTTGCGGATTCCCAGATCCACTTCTCTTTTCAAACTGAAAGCCAAAAAGGCTTAAAATGTTCCTTATTTGTATTTGTTAACACTGCAGAAAGCAGAAATTTCTGGTGTGTAGGTTTTCTTTCTCTTGTGAGCTGAACAATGAGTTCACCCAGCAAGCAACAACACTTCCATGGCATTGTCCAGGTGACTGCTGACTCGCACGCTGAAAACAAGCCCTGCATCCAAACAGGCCACATCACAGCGTCCTTCCCATGCACGTTTCCCTAACTCGGGCAGTAGGCCTAAGTTAATTTCAAAACCTGGAAAAGTCTTTCATGCCAAAAGGAGCTGTTCTTCATACCCTATGGAACAGTGCCCTGCATGTACTGCTTGATGGTTTGGAGAAAAAGAGATAAAGGAGTTGGGATTCTGAGTGCTCTCTTGCCTTTAGCACATGAGATTTCAGACTGGCTGTTTTCTGCAGTACTTCTGCTTAGCCAAGAACCACTTTAAACTAAAGTTTCAGTCAAAGAGATGCTGTTACAACCTCCTTGTGGCTTTTGACTTTTTCAAAATTTCTCCCTGCCCTTTACGAAAAAAGCATGACTCATAATGTATTAGCTATCTTCCCTCTATGTGTGACTCAACCTGTCCTGTATCATTTGCTCTATGTTTTTGCAGAGGTTGCATTAATTTCTACTGATCGATTTATAAATATATTGATTTAGAGTCATTACTTGCTCTTACAGCGATTTTTGTAAATACTGAGCTCTGTCTTGGTAGATCTTTAAAATGACAGCCCTTAATTTTCTCTTATTGTGCTCCCATTGCTTTCACTTTGTTTTTCAGTAGGAAACAACCGTAACTTTTAACTATGAACTGGTCTTTTCTTTGAAAAGGTAAAGAAATAACACCAATAATCCCCTAAATAAAAGAGAAACAAACCATCTTCTCTGTCTTGCTGAGGTTAATGTCCTTCTTGTTCCTCCTGCGTGCTTTGGAGTCCTCAATGTCAATCAGTCTGATGAGGGGCATRGTTCCTCCTCCCAGCACCAAAATTGTGAACAACACGATGATGATTGTTGTAGTGCCAATGAGCTGCCTCTTCTCTATTGGTTCCAAGCCCAAATGGAGGCTGAGGGCATAGGGAATTGCACCACGTAAACCTTACCAGAGAGGATAATAAACCAGTGAAGAGCCAGTCAACTCCAACATTGGTCCTCAGCACTCAGTTACCTCAATAGGAATCCTCTAACTTTAAGGATATTTATGACCATGTACCATACCCATTTCAGAGTAGTTTGGTCACCACTCTGAAATGAATCACAGCTCTTCAGATATTATGCTTTCCAAACCACAATGCTTTTAGCTCTACAGAGAAATTAGCTTCTTTTCAGAAAAGCTGCAATTAGAATCTATGTGATATGGCCCTCTAGYACAAGGGGGAAAGAATATCTACCTACTGCATTTGGGTATGAGAATGGTGCAAATGGTCAACTGAGTTTCGTTCCACAGATGGAAAATTACACTCTCTCAGAGTAGCTCAYAGAATGAAAAAGATGAAACATTTTAACAAATCTTTTGAGCTTTAACTCACCACTAAACCACATAATAAACATCATCTTGGGGGTGATTTTATGATCACGGAAAAAGTTAAGTAGGTAGGAAAGTGGGAAAATGTTGACTGCTCTACCAAACAGAACAAGAACCTGAAAAACAAAAATCAAAGGAAAAGGTTATTTGATGCATTACACTCATTCAGGCCCCAGCTGCATCTGGCTTGTGCAAAGTGGATACACCCTTATCACACACAAGCCTMATGCACAGACATGCTGCTAAGTCACATAAATAAATCCCCCAGTATAGGTCAGTGTGGAATTGAATGTTAGAAACATTTAGTCTGCTTAACTGAAATGAAACCAGACTTGTCACTGACAGAGACCAGACACTGTTTTACTTATAACCAATAAACAAAACCCAAAAGGCATTCTAAGGAGACAAAGGATTACTTTGGGTAAAGTTTTACTCAGTTCAGCTCTTTCAATCATTCCCTTGGCATTGTGGCCAACGGAATTTGTATTGCCTCCCTATGGGCCAGTTCCTCAGAGAAGACAGCCAGATGCCAAACAAAGAATGTGGAATTCAGTCCCCCATAAGTACCTAGGTATAGTTATAAAATACAGCAAAATATCCAAGTAACTTTGGCTGGGGTTGAACATTATTGATGGAAGTTGATGGAAGCAAATCAACAAGCACAGCAAAAGCTAACTCAGGCAGGCAAATTCTTCACAGCAACGTTGCTTTGTAAACTCCACCACAAACAGACCCTGAAAAGGTAAATACCCTAGAACTAGTTAGCAGGATCCTTGTAGGGCTGTGTCATTTCATCTATGAATCACTCCCAAATTATTCTATTTGCATTATGGCTGCAAGGGCAATGCTGCATAGAAGGACGTGTCACACCTTAACTATATATAGATAAGGAAGTTGGGTACATATGTGCAATGCAATGAGAGGAGTTCCCCACGCGGATACCACCGATCTGTGAATAGTAGGGAACAATTCTTCTCTTGACTCATGGACAGAAATGTGCTACATGTATGTTCCTGTAGACACCTGGAACTGGATTCACATTTTACTCTTTTCACTTTACAAAGAGGAACACATTTTCCTCTTTAATGTAATTCCAATAGAAAWAGGTAATTCGCATGTGAAACAACTCAGTGTCATTACAAACAGGTGCACTGAAACACGTCACACAGAAGGAAAGAAGTAAGAGCAAGGCCTATCTCTGAAAAAGGTGAGCTAATAGCAAAGAAGTCACATATGGCCTAAATTTATTTGTATTATTTATATGATAAATTGCAATACCCAAATACTTATGAAATAGAAAGACTCAAAGCTGCAGTGCTGAAAATGATGAAATGAAGCAGAGTTTGACATGAGTCTGCACTGTGGTTTTCACAAAATACCCATTTATGCAAATCCTTTACAGGATGCTAAAGATATGTAAAAAATCAGAATTGTTTTCCAATAAAATAACTTCTGGAATTAAGAGATATTTACAATAATCTTAACATCCTCTGAGATTTCTCATATTTTAGTAGATCTAATAAGCTCAAAATAAAGAGGGTTTTTTCATATTTTTAATAATCTTACACACACAGGCTTTAAAATAACAGCACACTAATTTCTCAAAGAATGCCGCTATGTATTACATCAAAGTGCTGAGAATAAGAAGAAAACAGTAATTGCCTGCTATTAGTGAGAATGACCTAAGATCAGTTCAGTATTCAGTGAGAAAGATTCAGTATTTTTTCATAGCAATATAAAGGTATTTTCATACAACTATATAAAACATTCTGAAATATTTTAAGTGAGAGGATTTTTTACCCCGTGAATACSAAAAAAAAGTATCTAAACAAGTTTGGAAGGAAGTAAATACTTACTATGCACCAGATGACAAAGGACATTTCAAACTTGTGAGGAAAACTAAAAATTGACAAGCCAAGAAAAGCAAAAACACATGTTTCTGAAAAAGAGAGAGCATTCCAAATAAGCAATTTTATGAAACCATTTCTACTCCTATAATAAATTACTAAATATGCTGCATAAAATATGTATTTCCTCAGTTTTGGATGCACAAAATAAGCACAAGTGGCATTTTGCAACACACCAGATTCTCCCACTCTCACTGTCAGTGGACATCACCTTATACATAGGCGTTCCCCCCTCCCAGTTGTAAATTCCTAATGAGTAAGAGCAAAGAGAGGAAAACCTTTCTTCTGGATTGTTGTGGATATAGAGGATTTTTTTTTTTTTTTTTTTTTTTTCTTTAAGTTTTTTTTTTTTTTTTTTTTTTTTTTGGATATTTTTTTTTTTTTTTTTTTTTTTTTGCTTGAAGAATATAGGCCAAGCTGCAGAATACACTTGAGCTGAAGGACTGAGTGCTCATCACTTCAGTAGTTTTGAATGAGATTCTATATAAAACTGAAATATCTGCAAATACGCAGTAATTCCACCAATGAGCAATTGCTCCTGTAACCCAAACATTTCTTTACCTACATACCTACTATTACCATTATAGAATCTCACAGTGACAATGTTTCCTAAAACCATTGCACTGGTTTGGGTCCTTGTTACTTACATGTGCATGCTCGAAGTCTGCTGTAGATACAAAAAAAATACAAAACAATACACAGTAACTCTTTTACGGTGACTTGAATGAACACATCTTTTTAGTATTTGTAACATACAAGAGTAAAAACTGGATGAGCTACTAGTGCTCAGACTAATGGTTAAATTTGGTTTGCAGCAGTGCCAGTTCCTTTCCACACTTCAAAGGCAAGCAACTTTTTACAAAAAAAAAAAAAAAAAAAAAAAGTGGAATACTTTTTATGCCACTTGCTAAGAAAATATGGATATATTTTTAATAAAAACTCATATCATTTCTTTTAAAAGTTTGGCTCATAAAAGGAAATGGGAAAGCTATGAGCTGTTTCTATCACTACCTCCAAAAAATTCTTCTCATTTTCTGAAGCTATTATTTTTGCAAGTAGCTTGTTAATATCCCAACTCAGTTAAACCTATGGCTATATCCTATCTCCTACAACTAAAAATAGGCCAGAGGGAGAATGGAGTCAGAGAGATTTATCTGGTTATCAATCTTGTGGCAAAACTTAGTAGGAGCCTGCAGGATGGAAGAGGGAGAAGATTTACTGTATGTTTTATCTTGTATGGCAGGAAAGGTGACTTCTGACTGCCTCCCAGCCTCCATTATCAGGGAGTCTTTTGCTCCTGAACCACTGAGAAGTTACTAGAGGAAAACTCCCTTCTCTTGCTCCCACCAGAATCAACACTTCATGCAAATTTATTTTTAAACCATTAGACAAAGGCTAAACAGAGCACTTACCACACATAAAAGCAACAGTTCTCAGTGTTTGCTGCATTAAAATCTGTGTAACTGGGGACAGATTATGATGTGTGTAGTGAGACATCACGATGCCAGAGAACAGGATTGCCATGATACCTGGAGAAACAATATGGCAATCAGCAAAAGAATACAATATATAACCTGCAAACACTACTGGAGTTTATAATCCCTACCAACACCAAAGCATATGAAGAGATGAGTGAGGCTTCTTACCACATACCGGTCTCATCTGGTCATGTAAATACTACGAAACCAAACACAGATCATGTGCATACTAGAATAAATYCCTATTATGCTATCTTTTCCCCAAAAAGTGGGCAAAATTATCTAAATTCTTGAATTTTTTTTTCCTGCCTTTCATTCTTCTTACAGGATAGGAAGGAAAGATCAAAAGAGGAGTAAAACCAACCTAAGAATAATGAGGCTAGAAGGATTAGAATAAATGAGACGCACTCAAAAAATTCTTTTTTTTCTGAAATGAAGTGATGATTTGGTAAAAGTTATTTAAAGCTTGTATTCCTTAAGAACTCATTCTTGAGGGCATTTGAGCAAATTAGGGAGCTTGTCTTTACAAATTAAGAGTCAGAGGACTCCTAACTACACAGCAGTAACCAGGTAGGGAACTTACCACAAATTCTTGTTGGTTATATATCAAAATGCAAGTATGTTTCTTGTAAAGTGTAATGACTGTAATTCTATAACATTATTATTTTAGATAAGAAATACAAATTAAAAATAAAAAGGCCATGTTGTGAGGCATTCATGTATTATGCTGACAATTCTAGAATAATCTTCTTAAAGGCAAAATTCATTTTTGTAACAATAAATAGACATAAAAACTCATCAAGCTACTTGCTCCAATTTCAGATATTGCCATTTCCAATATATGTTGGCCCATACACATAAACAGAATAGTTTGGGATGCAGGTGGGCAGAAAGGAATGCCTGCCTTAGCACTGACAACCCAATTGTGTAATGACCATAATTATAAGACACATYTTTAAACGTACAAAAAAATACAAGTCTACTGGCTTCAGTGGAGGAATGCTGATACCTCCTACTCTTCAAACCACAAATATTTCCAACTACAGAATCCATTTCAAAATATCGATGTTAGTGCACATGCACATTTTAGAAAGTTGATTTCATAGCTGCAGAYCATTTACAAGAAATCTAATTCTGCTATTATTTCTCAGAAACCAGTAAGATTATACAAACTTGCAAATATCTCTTAAGGTGCTTAAAAAAAAAAAAAAAAACCTTGCTCCCCCTACACTGGATCCAAACACATGCCCGAGGTGTTTAAATTATGCTAACTGTTGCATTGTTTCCCATTTCCCTTCCCRAACAGCTGTGGAAGGAGACAGGAAGCAGATTGCATCCAGAAACTAATTAAGTCAAGAGAGGTCAAGATGAGCATCCAGCAGAACAGGATCCTGGTTTTGGACTTGATTTTACAAAATGCCAGGTAAAAATCACTTCTAAGCCTCTTCTCCTGCCTTTGTAGCAAAACCTCTACCTGGTGTAGAGAAATAATTACAAAGTCTCAATGTCTCAGTGAAATTTTTCCAGTGACACTAAAAGATGGTCAAATAATTGTCTGCTGGAAAGTAGGCCAGTTTTTATCTACCCTAGCCAAGGTGTGGGCAAGCCCTGCAGTGTGCAACTGCAATTCTTCTTCTATGTGAGGCAGAGGTAACCGGGGAGAATACCATTATTTACCTTGGCTATCTAATGTTTATTAAACCTGCAATTGACTTTTGCATATTTTTATCTTCACAAACATTAAACAGAGAATAAGTGTTTGCCTAAGGTAAAGCAAGGTCAGAAGTAAAAGCACAGGCTAAATAAGGAAACATGTAAAATAAAAACAAACAAGAAAATCTAAAGGGAAACAAATAAAAAAACCCTGGAGCTTTCTATTCATTTTGCTACTCACCTGACAGTGAGATACCTTCTGCAAGTCCATAAGGGAGGTAAGCAAAGATAATCATCATGCCAAACTCCAGAGAGGGGGTCTTCCTTAAATCAATGTGCTTTAGCACGTACATATGAAAGCGTTATGGAAAATAAGTGAAAAACATCAGAAAAAAAAAAACCCTATACAATTCCATTATGAACCAGTCATTAGGCTTAATGTACTTAAGCACTGAATAGCTGAAAAAGTTTATAAATTCACCCACGAATCAACTGTGGAAACATTAATATTTTATTAATACTATTTTTTTTTTTTGTGGTAGAAGTCCATCAGCATGGGCAGACCTAGAGACAGAAGAGTTCTGTTACCACCATACCTTTACGATGCTGATATCAGCACGCCAAGGTTTGTTTGCATCTAGAAGGGCCACTTCCCTACACTTTCAGTCTTTGAAATGACCAGATAAGGATCTGTGTCCATGAAGAAGTGAACTGATTGCACCAAAAATATTGCAGAGAAACCACTGAGAGTCGTTAAATGGCAAAGTCTTTTTTAAAAATAGGGAAGAACTATGAAACAGCAAGTTGAAAGTGAAATAACTCTCACCTCTCTTTCAACAGAACTTCCTTTGGATACTAACCATGAGCTGAGGTAAATCCACTGGGTTTATGTTTGTACTCACAGGTGCAAACACTTGTCAAAGTTTGCAAATTCTACTGCTTTGAATCTTATGCAGGGCATAGCTGCCAAACAGGAGAAGACAACTTTGCCTCAGACAAATATTTGCCACACTAACCATGCAAATTATCTCCTCTCTTCGGTCACTGCATCCTGGGTACTTTCAGATGGATAAGACATATCCACAATAATATTAACAGTAAGGAAGCACATTCACATATTCCTTAAATCACATCCTTATCTCAACTCTTAAAACACTTAATATCTTTGTAAGGATTAGATGCCAGTGACACTGAAGTTCACTGTGGGTCAATGAGCCAGCAAACTTCAATCCTATTTATCTCTCTGCAACTATTAAAGWTTTCTTCTGCTTCACAGAAATTCTGCATAGTTGTGGTAAGTCTAATTATATATGTCTATAAGGTACAAATAGCAATCATATATAATCAAGGCAAATAAACCGTCTTTCTGTTTGATTTTATATCACTCAGATATCAGTGACTCACTCTCCGGTTGAGAAATATGGAACAATATAAAAGTTCTAAAGTTCATTCCAAATAACCAAGAGGGTGAACATGTCTGCACTTAACTAAATAAACTGTTGTTCTTATTTACAAAAACAGAGTGTTTGTAAATGCTTAACAGTATGTTCCAGATCACCTAAATATCTGTTACATAAGCCTAGCATAAAAATTACCTGGAATCAATTCTGTGCTAACATTAAAGCAACCTTTCAAAAATAACAAAGGTATCTGACTTAAACAACCATCCTTCCTTATCTCATTAGAGAAGCTTTTTGGGTTGTTAAGCAACCAATTTATGCAAATGGCAAAGCAAAAAGATATAACTCACTTAAAATCCAAAACAGTGGTATCTGTATTCAGCTGGCTGAATATGATATATATGGACAAATATACAGGTCTGATTCTGTGTGGCAGTCTTTTTTTTTTTCTTTTCTTATTTATATATATATATATAAATAGAGCCACACACTTAGGATCAATATATTGAAATTAACATGTTTAGAAAATAACTGCCCTACTTTGTAACATAGAATAGGAACTGATATACAGCATTTCAGACTTGAATTATGATCCTACACCCATGTGCACTAGCATAAAAACAAAGTGGGCATGACAAAATACTCAGTCAAGCCCTAAGAAACACTGGAGAATGTGGGGAAAAAATACCATTAAGATATTAGGGTTCACTAACTTGTGTACTATATTAACAAAATTTTTAAAAAAGGATATTAATGCAGAAATAAGGCCTGTAAGTGTGCCAAGTGCTGCAGAGCCAAAGAACATCTTAAGAAAGTATCCCAGTGCCTGTAGAAAGGTTTGCCATCCGCTTACATCTGACATATTTTCTCTTGTCAAACCTTCTGCTGTGCTGGAAATGTTTAAAAAATAAAAAGAAACGGTTATGAATTCTAAGTCTGGATATGAGCCAAATACCCTTTGAGAGAGAAACAGAATGACTTCCATTTCTGTGTTACTGACACTCCTAAAAGGGTTTTACTGTGAAACATATAACGAGAGGAATGTCAGATGATGTTAATCAAGTCTCGGTGTGATCCCCAAAGGGAAACCCAATTCTACTCAAAATATTGCTCTTTTGAAGAAACCTTACCATGATGGTAAAGATAGGTTATGATAATGCTCAACATTACAAAACAATTTGAAGTGTTCRAAAAGGAAAAGAAAGCATGTTTTGCAGTGATGAAAAGTCAGCCCAAGAAAATGCAGAGAGATCCTTACAGGASAAACATATAGGAGGACCCTCTTCAAATATTTAAGTACGGGTAAGTGAGTGGAAGGTCGCTGGATAAAACTAAAGATATCTGAAGGGAAAAGGGGAAACTGTCCATAGTCTTCCATAAAAGGACCTAAAATTGTATTACTTAAGAAACAAATGGCTCCTTGAAAAATGCCTCTAACCTTCTTACTCAGTAGCTGTGCTCCTTGTAAACATTCATAATGACATGTCTAGACTTCACTAAGAACATGAAGATATATCTGCATTCTTTGCCACTCTTTCAGCCTCCAAGAATTACAATGGATAAAGGATGAGGATATGGGATGCTCTTCTTCCTTGCAGTAGCCTCAACACAAATATTTAAGAAAGTTCCTATTGCATACATCTCAATGTATTCCCCCAAATGAAGTGTGATTCTAGGTATAAGGCAATGATGAAGGAACTACACCTGCTTATTTGGTTACGAAAATATTTTTCTGCAAGCTTGAAATGATCATCTTGGTTTTCACTCATTCAGATTGAAGGAGAGTTAATAAGCTTATAAACTTGCAAAGCAACCAATTCCAAACTGGGATCAATAAAGAGAAGGCACTGAAAAAGCTTCAAAAAATGCTTGTTTACTGTATTCTGCCTATTCTGTTTATGTTAGAAAAGAATAGATTGCTTTTAACTAAGAAAGATCAGTATTAAAATATGCAGTATTTTTTTCTATGTAATTAACAGAAAAGAGTGTCTCTGCAGACAAAGTTTGAACTACGTATTTATTTAATTTATTCATTTCCTTTATTCAAGAAATGAACTTACTTGGTCAAGACGATAGAAACCGCATCATTGAGAATGCTCTCTCCAAAAACCAACATGTTAAGTACTGGATCCACATTAAGGGCATTGAAAATGGCAATAGTAGCCACTGGATCAACTGCAGATATTAAAGAGCCGAATGCAAAACTGGGAGAACACAAAACCAGAGGACAAAAAAAATACGCACCTAATAAATTTACATTAATACATTAAAAACTACTAACACAGAGTATCTATTACAGAATTCATAGGTATTAGTTACAAGTTCTGTTCTCTTCCCACTCATAAGAACTTGAAATGACAAATGAGATTTTTTTTTTAATTTGCAGATATGTAAGAAAATTGTTGCCCATGTGGGAGAGTAGTTTGAGAAATATTTATTTGCTAACTCTCAACAGCAGTACCCATGTATTGTTACAATACATGAGTAAGAAAAAACAAACAACTTTATAGACAAAGCCTAAACCATGTATCATACATGCATAGTGTCACCTCTTGAGGGCTACTAAAGTGTCTCAGCTACATGAAACGGTTAACCTTTCGTTACTCTCAAATTCAAAGATAGACAATAAAGAAGCAATAGGACCTCTCTGCTGCATAAAGTCAAATGCTGGAGCCAAGCTATGAAGACTTTCGCTGTTCATGCATGCTTTACTTATTCTGTTCCTTGCTTGTTACCCAAATTATTCATGAATTTTAACAGAAAAACACTGTACTTGGCTGTACAGTAAACAAACAAAACAATTCCCTATAGGTTGATGTACTTCTAGAAATTTGATTAGATACTTTGCAGAGTTCTTGAAACATTTACACTATTTTAAAAAAAAGAAAAGTCCAACTTTTAAGAGAAGATCTGGATACACAAATCATTCTTTTATGATATATTTTAATAATTCCAATAAACTAAAGCTAACATTTAAACTTTGAGGCTAATTAAAAACAAGTATGTTTATGTTCTGGAAAAATCACTTAGCATAGAACAGTACTTGGTAGTAAGACTGTCATGTCACTAACCAGAACAACTSGCCAACTGCATTGCATATCCCACCTATGGTGTTTTCTGATGTGTGYTTCATTTGATAGATACCACACCATTGCACCAGAAGCTTACCTGTCTGTCATGTTAAGTTTATAAATTACATCAGCCTGAAAGAATAGGCAAAAAATAAATTACAATCAGCTATGTGTTTCTCCTATTTTTTTTTTAATATTCACCAAATCTAGGTCTATTGTGAGGGGAAAAAAATTTAACAGTGGCTTTAATATATCCTATGTAACATTGACCCCTAGCAGTGACCTGCTACAATTCTGGTCACCAGATTCAGGAAAGTCCAGGTGTAATTAGAACAGATGCAGATGAATACAGTAACTGAAGCTTTCACAGGAATGGGAATCTGGAAAAACAGGGAAATACAAAAGCACGGATTGTTTGGCCTACGTGATATCTACTACAAGACATGATTATCTGCATCTATAACTAATTAAATGGGAAATACCAAAGAGGTCGCTGTGCTACAGCAAACTGTTGGCATAATAACAAATAAGCTTAAGACTAGGAATCTGATTATGGCTTTTAACCCTTAGAGAAGTCAACTTCTGGAAAAGCCTGATTGAAAGATCAGGGAATTAAAAATGTCAAATTCAATCCAAGCTTTACTTGCTTTTAACATGGAATACGATATATCCATGGAAGGGTTTATATGATAGTGTCTCTATGATAGCAGAGAATTGGGCTTGGGGACTCAGGGACTCATTTTSACTGGTTTTACCTGTTTGGTCTTTAAAACAACAATGGACTCACAAGGACAAGCCGGATACATGTATCTTACAGTTTTTCTTACCTGGCCAAGAAAATAAATTCCTCCACCTACAATGAAAGCCGATATTGCTGTGCCAAACACAGAAAATAGAGTGATGGAACCTATGTTCTGAAAAAAATTACCCTGGAATACAAAAACAAATTAGTAAAAACAAGTGGGGGGAGGAATTGTGTTTTGTTTCTGCATCTGTGCAAATCTATCTAAATTAGATTCTGATTCGCAGCTGGGTTTCACAGATAATTAAGCCTTAGTTTGGTTCCAGGTATTCCAGGATGCACCACCTGCCTAGAGAAATTGCTCTTTTGGGGACAGCATGCAGAGCTCAAATGAAAAGGCCTCGCTCAGAGAGGACCAAAACCACTTCAGCCAGGACCACCACTGCAAGAGAAGTCCATGTAACCACAGCCTCCCAGGCAAAGGGTGAAAATCCTTGGAAATATTGTCACCTTGCCCCTTCTTTAGACACAGAATGACCCCTCCTTTCCCRCATGTGTGCCAGTTGCTTCCCATTTTGCCTCTTTCACATCAGTCCCCGTGCAGCTCTGCTGAGGGGACAAACTGCTTGACCAAGGACAATARTCTCTGCCGCAGCACTTGAGCTAGTTGCAGTATTGCTAACTGAAAACAGATTCTGCTTCAAACAAAACCTCAACAYGTGAAATGAGTGTATAGCAAGGGCTAACCTTGTGCAATGAATATCCRGATTCAAATATAATAGGTGGAAGCAAAAGCAGAAAAAACATATTTGGGCGAAACATTTCTTCTTCCTGCAAAACAAAAATGAAGTATAATTTGAAGGATATTATGATAGCATCAAACCTTCCCAAGGAGAAATTATTTTTAAAAATACAAAGTACATGTAAAATGAAAATCATATTAGTCTTTCTCTTYTTACCATAAAAATTGCAGAATAGCAAGCCATTTCAAGACTATTTTTATTCAATGATAGAAAATGAAATGTTACTTATTTTAAATTGCTCTTCACAAATAATCTGCACAGAAATGTTTTTATTTCCCTACACAAGGAATTCCCATTTTACTGCATACTCTCAAACTTACAAGGATCATCAAGGAATGGTGACCTCTTGGCAAGTGATCTGAATATAATCTAGCTTAACTGTGATCAAATACAGTTTCACTAAGATTAGTTCCAGCTAATCAGTGGACCACAAGAAATCAGATCACCRTCTTAGTACCCTTGCAAGTGAACAGGCTCAACATATATAATACTATAAGACTCAGAGGCTTGATTCTTCTTGGCAAATGTAATTTATGACTGTAATTTAATGTGATTCTTCTGATGGTTCCTTTTTGCCAGCAGAGAGATATAAATGAAGCCTAACACAAAGTAAGATTGCATTTCTAGGGGGAAGAATCTTACTCTCCACTGTTATCTATCACTGGGCCAGCAGTGCTTTAAAAAAGTCCTACCACCAAACTGGTCCCCTTGTTACTGCTGCTGCCCAGAAGGCAAATTCAGCACGGCCTGACGTGCCTCCCTTTACCAGCCACACTCCCTCCTGGAGCACTGTGCTGGCCACGGCAGGACTCGTGCCCTCAATTAGCAGCAGCGAATTTGTTGAAACTGAGGTTCAGCAGCTGATGGACTGTTCTGTTAAAACATCACTCAAAAAAACAAATGCTCATCTTTAAAGTCTTGCTCATATCTGCAACAGTGATAATGAACTACAAGGATTCAGGAGGCTTCAGAAAAATCAAACTCATCCTTCACACTGAGGTGCTCTCCCCAGCAGTGCCATCTAGGCCCTTATTCAGTGCACGAAATGTTCCTATCATTCCAGTAACTGCATTAGAAAAAAAAAAATCTCAATTGATTAAAACTAAAAAGCAGAGTTTTGGACAAGCAGAAGGGAAATAAGGAGAAGGAATGAGTGAATTTATGCTATGTTGAAGAAAAGACTGGGAAAGCAAAACATGAAGCCTGCAATTATCTGTCATCAAGAATCACCAGCAAGTACAAAGTCCAGTGATCACCTATTAAAGCACAACAGCAAGAAATTATGTTACAAAGTTCTTAGGGCAGGAATGTGAAYTAAGAATTGCTTTTCACATAGATAAAATCTGCAGTTAAATACTCTATTTTTCCTACACGAGATATATACCAACTCTTGCAAATTTAAAAACATTTAAAATGATTTAAGTTTCAATTTAGAAAGTACATAATTGTCACTGTTAATTAGAATATTTCACCTAAAATTGAAGCAGTCTAAACTTTTAATACAGGAACTTAAAAGTAATCAAATAAGAATGTCTTATCTGGGACCCTTTATCTAAGCTGATAATATGAGCAACTCTAGGCATCATATCCAGTGCCTTTCAAGGTTTGACTAGCACTGGGCAGAAATAATTAGGCAATTCAGTGTCTCAGTATTTCCTGTGCTTACAGAATCACTGCTCGATACAAAGCATATTATAAAGTTTTTCTTTCTACAAACCCGATCCACTTTAGATTATTYTATTTAACCAGTAAGAAGCTCTTTCAAAATGCTTTTATGGATTTTTAACTGACTTCCAACTCTAAGCCAAATCCAGCTCACAAAAATCAGGAATGCCAAAACATCATCTAACAGTAACTCAGGCCCCACCCTCTCCTGGTTAATAGTGTGTATGTACAAACTAAATATCACAATCTGTCTCTTGAAATAGGCAACTGCTTGAACACTGAAAGAGTTGAAAAAAATTGGCCACATTTAATTTAAAAGCTACGTTCTTGTTTAAAAAGGGTGATCCAAATCATTGTGATTGGTCAGTTCACTGATCTAATTGTAAATACTGCTTGATTCTATGAAATAAAACAATTTAAATAATGCATGATTTTTAATTAAAGAAATAGCAAAGAGTTCATTGCTTTTCTGATATATATATAAAACCACAGGAAGCAAAACTCTTGTTTCGTTGCATGGTTCACCTCCTGGAGATGTTTCTGCCGGAACTCTCCCTTCCCAGGGAAGCTTCCAAAGACCTCACAGCATCACAGAGCAATTCTGGTTGCAGGGGGAGTCTGTAGGTCCCTGATCCAAGCCCCTGTTCACAACTGGGACAATGTGGAGCCTCCTAGTTTGCCCAAGACCTTGTCCAGCCAATTTTTGAATATCTTCATGGATGGAGGTTCCACAGCCTCCTAGGATCCCTGTTGCCATGTTTGTTTTCACCCCTGTTCTGAACATTCTCCTCCAAGTCTAAGTCTATAAAGCTCTGGGCACCTAGGCAAGAACAACCTTCTGCACAGGTACTTTGCACCTACCTTCTGAGGGATGTAAAGCTCTTGTCTTGCTGTGAGACATGAGCCAGAGTGGAAAAAAAAGCACACAGTTACTGTTATTGGAGATGACATCAAAATAATATTACAAACAGTCTGGATTTAAACAACTAGGGATTGCTCTACAACTAAAAAGGAATTGCTTCAATTATACCTTCCAGTTGGCCAGCTTTTGAGCTTCTATGATTTTTATAAAAGCTCCCATGAGGATACCTAGGAGAAAATGAGATAGCATTTTTAAAGTATTATCCACAAAACACATCACTTTTTCCATAAATTGTTACAGGCGATCAGTCAGCATGGTCTCAAAAATTAAAAAGGTGAAACACGAAGCTGTAAGTCTTCTATTCCTAAATCACAATAAAACAGAAGTGGTTTTGTGTTGAAGACGGTTTCCAGTATGTTTCAAAATTTAAAAACTTCTCTAAAAAAAAAAAAAAAATAAAACAGAAGTGGTTTTGTGTTGAAGACGGTTTCCAGTATGTTTCAAAATTTAAAAACTTCTCTAAAAAAAAAAAAAAAAAAAAAAAAAAAAAAAAAAAAAAAAAAGTAATTTGGGATATCTAAATACTGAACACATGTATTGAGAGAGCTCTGCTCACTGTTCAGAAAGGCTCTTCACCCAGGCAGCATTCAACTTAACTTCTGCCTTTCCTTCTGAAAAACCATGAGCTGGATACAGCCGTGACAGCGCAAAATCCTTGCGTCACATTGGGGCTATTTGCAACATTAATGCAGCTTAAGTGACCTCCAGGCTTCCTGCACAGCAGTGGATTTTGTCTCAATGAAATCACAATACCAGCAATGAACCAGAGGATAAATTCTAATCAGGGTGGAGACAATGACATAACTATTTCCCAAATGGATTACATACATTTTAGGTCATTTAGAAATAATAAGTATAAAGTGTATTTATCAAAGGTGTTGCAAATTCAATGGCTTGAAGTCCTTGTGCTCTTTCCTTCCAACCATCTTCAAAGAGATAAGACAGAAAACTCCAAACCAATGAGATTTCTTCTTCAAGTCAGAAATATAATTCATAGCTTGTCACTAACTGCTTTCAAGGAGTCATGAGGATTTAGCATTCACCAGATTCCAAATCTTGTGTTTCTCTATGGTTGTTCTTTATTTTTTACAGAATGAAGACTAGTCAAATGCTGGAATGCAGAAGTGAAAATATAATGATATATAACTGAATGAAATATAACTAAATGATTGATAAGAACTGACTGAGAAGCTTAGAGCATGCTTTTCAACTCATGTATTTTTCACTCTGTCATACTGTGGCTATCAAAAGAGTCTTACAAATAGCATCACATGGATTACTCCTGATGCATGTGTCATGCACACAGTGTTCTATGTGGCTTAAGCCCTCTTTYACATAGAACTATGCGAAGGCATCGGTAGCAGAGGATAGAAATAACTGCCCCGTGAAATGGTTAATATGGAAAAGAAGAACAAAACGTTAAAGAAGGAACATCAAAGGTCTGCTGCTCTTTGATGTAGGAGGGAACCCAGAGACAGCTGCTCRCATGCCAGATAAATACAGCTTCTCAGGATGAGCACAGAGCCTTTCCATTCTGTGATGGAAGCAACGTCCGAAGCCAAGGACCAGAACAGCACTAATTTCTGAAGAGYAGTAACACCATCTTCCACTGTTACAAACGCTACTTGTGTCACTAACAAGTTTACATGGGAAAAAAGTACAGCCAACACATCTGAAGGCACAAGCTTCCAATACTGTCCTTTCCAAATACACTTCCAGTAGCTGATGAATAGGCATTGAGAACCCTCACAGGAAACCACGTTTAGGGAGGATCTCAAAGAAAAGAGCACCCCTAAACTCTCTTTAACAGAAGTGTCCAAGTACCTAAATAACACTAAAACACACACGTTACCCACTTTAGGAACTGGGTATCTGAGTCACCTTGTGGTCTCCTTGATTGTGATCAATTACTGGAAGAGAAGTCAAAAGGGGAAGAGCTCAGAAACCCTCATGCTTTCAGTCTAAGAATTCTGTCTCAAACCCTTTTTAGCTGTTCTGTAACTACAAATGCTTTAATTTTGCATAAGTGCTACATAATTTTGTCCTTAACATTATTAATACAGGAAGGCTTGTAACCTGTGCAGGAAAGATGTTATATAATTTGGCATATGTACAAGAAAACAGCACATATAGGCTGCTGCAGGCAAGAGGGACTTGTGTAAACTATGCACAGAGCTCACGTGAATCTGTCACAGACAGATGTGGGTGACAATCTATGTCAAGGCAATCTTCTCTTCAGGGCATAAAAGTAACGGAGTGTAGGAGAACTATATAGAGAGGAAACGTACTTAATCCTTTAAGATGCTTGCATTTTCACTGATGACAGCAGTGAGTTTACAAACACACTGCTTGTCAGAAAACGAGGATCCCTGAAAGCCCTACACACTTCTAGGTCAGCAGCATGCAGTATTCCTGGTTGCTTGAGCTAGTACGTTGCTATAGTGTCAGGGTCTAAAGACCTCACTTCCTGACAGCCTCCTCTTAAGGGCTGTTTCTTTAGGACTTTTCATAGTAAGATAAGGAAAGAAAATGAACTCGGAAAGAAGGAGCACTGGCCCCTTCCCTGCTCAGGTTTCTGCCACAACCAGACTGAGACTATCATCTTTGTGAGTTGCTCCAGAGGGGCTTTGAAACCAGACCCTGCAGAGGGCCAGCCATGGCTTGGAGTGACAGCCTGGACYTCCCTATCCTGCAAGTTCATGATAATTAAGCAAGTGGCTTGTCTCAAAGAATCTCTCTTTTTTTTTTTTTCCCCCTCTGGAGAAAGAGTTAATCACGAGGTGACTCAGACAAGAGAGCCACAGAAACAAGAGGTCCTTTCAGCAGAACCAGAGTTGCAACCGACACACTTACTTGTTCTGATCAAGCATTTTTATCTCATCTAGCCAGAAAAACAGCGTTATCAGTTGTCTTGGTACCTGTAATTYGTTCGCAGAATTCTGATCATTAGTTTTGTCTGATTGGGAAACCCAAATGATAGAGCTTACTACCTGGAACCACGGTAGTCAACACATCTTCTTCAACTCTTCTTAATTATTGTTTTCATTCCTTGTTCACTTAAGCTTGAAACCTTTGTGGGTTATTTATCAAAGAAAGCAATCTCTCATATTCTATTTTAAAACCTGAACTATTTGAAGATATTGTTATTTACCTTTAGGAGCAAGATACTAAGATGATTATGTTGATTCTTTGCTGGCTTACCCTCCAAAATAATAAACCTGTGTATGTGTTTAATTTTTTTTTTTTTTTTTAATTTTCAGATGATGATCTTTCACCTTGTGCAAACTATTTTTACAAATCTTTGTCAAGTTTTTGTTTTGATGAAAATCTGGCATCTTTAAGACAATTTTGTTAGACAGTTATGAATATGTATAGATCTATGCAAAAAAAAAMCCTTTATTTTTGTCAAGCAAATTAAAGCATTAGGGGGTTATCATACTAAAGTAAGGTGTGGCTACAAATCTACACATTTAATTTTTGTAAACAACTGTAGCACTTAAAAAAAAAAAAAGTCACTGTTTGAAATACATTAATTTCACAGTAAACGAACAGAATGACCTGCTCCACCTCCAACTGCAGTTTAGCCTAATCTGCTCCATATCACACTGAAGTAAATTATGCTAAAACAATCAGCAATCAGCTGTATTTCAGCTAAAAGGGTAATAACAAGCCATTGGGAAAACAACTTATCTATTGGTTATCTACTTCAGAAGTTTACATGCAACTTTGACTTTACCTTCTCAGTTAATAAAAATCATGGAAAGCTAATCAAAATCTGATACTAAAATCTGCAACACAGCACTGAATAGCAACAAGCATACAGTTTTTGATAACATCGACCAGAGAGAAGATCTTTAGTTATTGTGTGATAACTAATTTATTTGTTATTTAGTAATTTATTCCTGCACTRGAGTTAGGTTCCAAGAATGTATGTGAAATTCAGCCCAGGCACAAGGACAGAACAGGGACTCACTACCAGTGCAATGACGGAAGACAGAACAATGTGATGGAACGTATCTGTTAATGATGCTACCTCTGACTGATAGATGGAATTTATCAATATTAAAAGTCAAATGAACAATGATATAAACATTTGTAAAGCAACAGCAGAGGGTGACTCGCACCTTCCAACAGCCCAAGTTACTCCTGGCTGCACACTGTGCTCAACAGCATCACTAAACCATGATAAGGGATCGTCACAAAGGAGAGCTSCACAACAGAACATAGCACTGACAGGGCTTCAGGGGAGCAGGGTGAAACTTGGATGTCTATTTGTACAACCTCTCCTGTGCAGCTTTGCAAACTACTCTCCTTTAATTACTACATTAATGAAAGCAATTTCCTTTCAGCTGGTTCCATCTGTTAAATCAGGAAGATCTATTTAGCCTTTTTTTATCAAGGGACTATTTGGAAAATTAAGTTGGGAACAGTTAATCTAAACATCTCTCCTTTGAAAACTTTATAGCAAGTTTACTAACACCWGTAATCTTTATTTTCCTTTTTTTTTGGGTGGAGCGGGGAGAGGGGACTATTTTATAACAGTCAAATTCCAGGCACCTKAAGGACTAAGATCAAAATACAGCCTTATAGAATGCACTTTCCATCAGTAAAGTGACATACCATAGAAATTATAAAACATGAGCTTACATATAGCTTAGAAAATGGGAGGATACTGTCATAATATCATACTTWTCTGCTCTGTTGTTATATTTATAAGTCCTCAATAACTGCCTAAGAACATGTACTTAAATTGACAAGTCAAAATAGAACACACCTCATCTGGCGTTGCTGGCCAAACTGGATACTTGAAACTCAAGCTGTGCTCTTGCAGCTGTGCATCATTACCAGTAACAGAGGTTCACTGACCAGCAATTAGCTGGCAATTCCAGTGATTTTACAGATGCCACCTCCTGTCAACAGAGTTGACAGAGTTGACAGGAGTTTAAATATGACTCAGTCAATAAGCTAAATAAATAAGGCTTAAGTGACACAGGACATCTGCTAGTCCTGTTGTTAGTAAGTGTAACACTCTCTTGACTTTATGTGAATTGCCTTTGCTGATATCACTGAGTCTGGGTTAGGAGACAAACTACACCCATGTCATGGTTCATGCTGAAAAATTGAACTGACCAAGCTTGTTACAGGCCCTCTATGCAAAAATCCCAGACATGCATTGCTGCTTATTGCAAACTTTCACAGCAGGGACAGCCTCAACAAGAAAACTTAGCAATTTCGTGAATAGGCTTTTGTTGGGAGAGCAGCACTGACCTCAGTGGCACAGCTAAATCCTTGCCCTGCTGCTGAGATGCCAAGAACAAGAAACAGAGAGACAAGAGTGTCTGTGCCTGAGCTGCACTCTGCAACCCTCAGCAGGAGCAGTGACGCAAGCAGCCCCAGCCTCTCTGCTCAGCACTGCCTAGTAGGTGGCTTGTGGCAGAATCAAGAAAATAAAGAGCACGAAGAAATCAAAAATTATGCCAGCAGGACTAAACAATACACTGCTGTAGCTTAAATGACAGATTATATACACTTATATCTTGATTATTTTATGCTAATTTAATTCAATGTTACTTAGTTAGTTTCTTCTCTTTAAACTGTACTTAGTTTGTAATATCTTTCTAGTGCTGTCTAACACACGACAGAGCATTAATTCAAGCAAAACACAGACTACTGAGAGCCCCCTGATTAACATAAGTTCAGCATAAATATGTCATGGTTACTCACCTAAGGAAACAACTGCCACACTCTCTGGTAGAAAATGAAGCCTGTATTTTATCAGTAAATGCACCAATATGATGCAGATAGCTGTGAGGGAAAATAAGACAACAGTAGAAGATGAGTGTGAGAAGAGTGTAAGAAGTTTCTAAGCAGTATTTCCAAAATAYATACATTAAAACTTTTCCTAATGGTTTACTACTCATGATAAAGTTTTTCTTCCTTTATATAAACTGCATTTTCCTTGTTGCAACCCAACTGCTGCTGCTTGTTCCTTTTGTGCACCTCTGAGAAAAGTTTTGCTCCATAGTCTCTGTAACTCCTATATAGTGCACCAAGGGGTTGAAGAATGGGCAAAGTTTTAAATGTCCTGAGTTTTGGAACAAGGATCAGCCAAACTACTATCCAAATCAGTGGGAACTTTTATTGCTCTGCATCACTGAAAATTAAACCAGCAAGGGCAAAGGAGCAGTATTGCTCTAGAAAAATGCAAAACAGGTTTAAACGAAGTTTAGAAAATTGGATTTAAATCCCATTTTGATSTAGCTCAACAAAGACTTAAACAAGGAAAGTGAAGGATGGAGCAACACTGGCCTGGATGTCTGCAACACATGGATGTGACTCAGAGTGCTAGGAAATCATCTGACAGTGGCCTGGAATAGTAATAGTATTACTGCTCACATTTATTCCAAAAGCAACTGAAGCCCAGGGAGAATAAACAGCATTTTATAGAGCAGAATCAAATTACAGCCTCTTAAACTCAGCAGACTGTTTTAAACCATGCATTTGACAGACCTAGTCATAATCACAAAAGGAATCTTCATTCTCTTTAGATCGTGAGTAAAGTAAATGCCTGCAGCTTTCGTCCAATTTACATTGTGGGCATTACAATGCCAGACCTAAACTGCAACAGCACACACTGTGAACTTCAGAAYGAACAAGCTTATCTGACTGCTCTTAAATGATTTGCTTTAACAGTTCTTTCTCATTACTAATTTCTAATTACACAAGTAATTAGAACATTCTGAACATTAACAAGTTTTTTTTTTTTTTGGTTCACTACTACAACATGATCTGCATTAACAGAAACAAAGCACAAGCCTCATAATACAAATATGACTTTTTGCTACCCTACTCTCCCATGAAGTGCTAAGGAATGGGTATCACAACAATGCCTACACTCACCCATGTGGTTCTCTCATACACATGTAGCTCATACACTTAGCATTTATGTGCACATGAATGGCAAGATAAGACTTATCAGCAGAGCAAAAACTCATAAAATACACAGCAGTAKCTGCTCAATTACACATATGTCGTTTGTTCAGGGTCAAAACTGTGCAGTCCTAGAGATGAGCAAGGAGAGGTCAGTTCAGGGAGGCTGCTGGGGCTCCTTCCCCACCTCACTCAGTCCATTTCCACTCCCTTGCTCTTTATGATATTGAGCATTCAGTTCTTAAACCCCCAATGTTTACAGCATAACATTTTAATGCAGACTTCAATTGGTGATTACTTTTAAATGCTGTATTAGAGCCTGCAGTAGCTCACAAGCTTCTAACAAGCAACTTGGACTTTAGGCTGTCAACACCAGACAGACTATCAGAGCAACAGCCTCCTCACGTTATCGCTAGCAAACTTTTTATTTGCTTGCCAAGCAGTACCACTAAGTTCTGTATCAATTTCCTGTCTGCAAAATTCAAATAACACTCATCCAGTAGGGAATCTGGGATGACTGTGGTAACAGCATTTGTTCGTGTGCTTTGAGATACTACAGACCYGGACACTACAGATATCCAACGAAAGAACTCCACAGGCAACCACAAGCAGGATTTTTGTCCAGCACTTCTGAACACCAGTTCCTGTCTACTAGTTTTTCTAGCGCAAGTACCAACTCCCACCAACAGAAACATTAGGAGAATTCATGATGCTCTTTAGCCGATTTGCAGCATATTCCCGGTGTCAGAGTGGTCAGTTTGTATCTGGCAACATATCATCCATGTCAGCTCGGGGAGCCATGTGCCAGAAGCACAGCAATCAGTTACAAAAGCAAACAAACCAAAAAACCCACAGTGCTTCAAAAGACTAAAAGATTAAAAGCATGCAACATGTGGGGAAATTGTGGATCACATGAATTTAACAGAATACAGGAATGCCCTTTTGGCCCAATGGTGCATATATGCAAGCACTGCTTGAATAGTTTAACAGGCTGCGGAACACATGATATTTAAGGCATTTTAAAATAGAGGCCTGACTTGGACACACCCAGCTCAGGACAGATCGGCTTTTAGGCTCATTCTAGGGCAGTCCTTTACAGCTCAAAACATTCAAATTAAAAAGCGTTATAGGGAATTGCTTGTCATCCCTCCTACAGCCTTAAAACAGAGATTATGAATGTGAATAATTCTAACAATTTTATGGTAGTTTTACTTTATTCAAAACCTCCATTTCCCCAAGTGATCCTTTCAAGCTTCATCAAGCTATTAGACAGACATACACACTAGTCAAAACTAGAGTCTGGAACACAGCCTGAAATCATAGTCCTGCTCGCAAGCCCTACAAATACAATTTTACCATGAAGTGCCCTTTTAAAATCATGAGACATATTCAACATTTTTATTTTAATCTCTGTCTTCTGATCTACTGCATTTTGCGCTCTCTCAGCGCAGCTTGCTTTAGAGGAACCAAGCACACATATATACATCAGGAAAAAAAAAAAAGGCAAACCTTAACCCTCCACAAATTCTTTTGTTATAGTTACAGTTTTAACTATGAAATCGTTCAAAATAAATAGTAAGAGATAACTACATTCTGTTAATGAAAGATGACAGTTACAGAAAAATTGGGTGTACAACTGCTATTTAAACATCTACTTAYGTTCAATATATACTATTATGGCAATCTGCATGTTATTATTGCCCTCATGTAAATAGAACAGTTAGAACAAATGCTAAACTTCTGTATTGTGCAAGTAAATCTCTTCTCCTGTTTCTTTTAACAAAATATTTGGAAGCTAGAGTGCAGAATTGCTGCAAGGAGTTAAAYTGACCTTTCTCTAGCACTCTCCTCAAAGACAGCTACAAGTACCACGGAGTTTTGTAACAGTGTCTTTTTCATAAGTGAACACATTACATCCAGCAGTTCTGTCCAGTACATGAGGTATGAAAAGCCAATTTAATGTGTGGTTTGTGGATCTTACCAAGGTAAGATCTCCAACAGTCCTTTCCACGGGTTTTGGAGCATTTAGGTAGTTACATACCCAACTCTTCTCCCTGCACCTGTACAACACTCTGTTCCACAATGACAGAAAAASTGAGGAGAAATATAATACTATGCTTAAAGAAAATAACCCATACGTAAGTTACAGAGTAAGTTAACAGCRTTCAAAAGACATTTCAGTTTATCGTTCACCTAGAACAAGAAGACTAAAGAAAATAGTCATGCCACTAGACTGCTCCTCTTGCTGCGCCTGGACGCCGGTCTGCACCGGGAGGATGGGCTTGGCCGGCGTGGGCAGCACCAGCTTGGTGGTGGCAGCGAGCGTAGTGCGCAGGGTGGCATTGACGGCCTCCATGGTGGCGTTCGCAGACCTGTCAGGACGAGGCAAGGCAGGGTGTCGGGCGAGAGGAGCCGCGGGGCACGGCACGGGGCTACCGGAGGGCAACCGGGCCAGGCCTGGGCTCCAAGGAGGCCTGGCCCTTGCCCAGGGCTCCGCGGGCACTGGCTGGGGGAGCCGCTCCCGGCTGCGCCGCAGACCTGGGCACGGCCCCCGGGGGGAGGCCCGGCCCGGCCCGGGTCGCTCCCCGGCCCCGCGCGGCCCGGGCCCGCCCGCCGCCTCCCCGCTCCGCTCCGCTCCGCGCGCCCGCCGCACTCACTCTGCCATCTTGCCGCCAAGCCGGCAGCGCCGCCGCGCTCGCACGGGGCACTTCCGGGGCTCCCCGCGGCGCTACGCACCCCGCCCGGCAACGCTATGATAGGGGCGGGGGGAAATAAATAAAAATAAAATAAAATAAAAAAAAAAAATAATAATAAAGAGCAGCGGGAGGGCGGAGTGCGCATGCGCGCCGGCTGCGCGCTGCACCGCGTGATCCGGGCGGGAGGGTTGACACGTGACAGCGTGGGCGAGTGCCCGCGTGCTGGGCSGCGAGCTGCCCCGCGGTTGCCTAGCGACGGCTCTGACGTCACGGCCGCGCAGTGCGGCGCCATGTCTGCTCTSTCGCCGCCGCGCGGTCGCCATGTCCCGCGGTGCCCTGTGCCCGCATGGGCACCGCAGCGCGGTCCGTGTCCCCACACACCATCAGCTCCTCTCTCCTCAGCCACCATCACCCATGCCCTGCCATCATCACCTGGTGGCTTCTCTCCCTTCAGCCACCACTGCCCAACGGCTTCATGGCCCCTGTTGCTGCCGCTCAGTGGYGCCTTGTCTCTCACCTGCCATCACTACGGCTTGTATGGAGCACCCTGTTCTGTGGTATCCTCGGGGTTGTCATTTCAGAAGGAATGTGGAAAATCTGGCTATGGTGGCCACACATGTTTGGGGGAGACATCATGACAACAAATTGGCAGTGCCTGAAATCAGTAGATGGATTCAGATTTTTGAAATAAGGCATTTTCAGCCTTTTTAAAGTTTCACAGAATGATAGATCCTTAAGGTTGGCTGGGACCTCTGGAGATGATCTYGTCCAACCCCCTGCACATGCAGGATCACCTGGAGCATGGGGCACAGGGCTGCGTCCAAGAGGGTTTTGAAGCTCTCCAGAGAMGGAGACTCCACAACCTCTCTGGGCAGCCTGTTCCAGGGCTCTGTCACCCTCACTATTGAGAAAATTTTCCTTAAGTTCCTGCRGAACTTTTGGTGCTTCAGTTTGTGGCCATTTTCTTCAGTCCTGTCAGTGGCCACCACTGCAAAGAGGCCGCCCCCTCCTCCTCACTGCCTCCCTTGAGGTGTYTATAGGCACTGATCAGGTCCCCCCTCAGCCTTCYCTTCTCCAGGCTGGACAGCCCCAGCTCTCCCAGCCTTTCCTCACAGGGCAGATGTTCCAGATCCCTGATCATCCTCGTAGCCCTGCGCTGGACTCTCTCCAGCAGATCCACATCCCTCTTGTGCTGGAGAGCCCAGAACTGGACACAGTCTTCAATTGCAGCCTCACCAGAGCTGGGTAGAGGGGGACGATTCCAGAGGGCTGCCCTTGGTAAACACTGAAGCCAAGAAGACATTCAGCAACTCTGCCTTTCCTATGTTTTTCGTAACCAGGGCACCCACCCCCTTCACCAGCAGACCCACATTCTCCCTACTCTTCCTTTTGCCATTGATATATTTGAAGACACTCTTCTTATTCTTTTTAACATCTCTTGCCAGATCTTGTTCCAAGCATGCCTTAGCTTTCGCTGTTGCATCCCTGCATTTTCTGACAATGTTCCTGTGTTTTTCCCAGAGAGGCTGTTCTTTCTTCCACATTCTGCTTGTTGCTCCCATAAATGTTTCCCCCTGTAGCTGCAGACCTGCAGCAAGTGCCCAGTAGCAGATGCACAGCTTATTCACAGGCAACTTATTTGTGTGAGAATGAGCTGGAAGCTTGCCAGCCACTTCAAAGGTATTTCTGCTGATAAGAGCAGCCRCACGCTGCCAAAAGATTTTTTCTATAGCTGGCTTTGTTTCCTCAACTTAAAAATTTCTTACTATCTGAATTTGCTGAACAAGAGCTATTTTAGATGAGCCTGTTTGGTCTAAAGATTGGGGGTAAATGGAGACTACTACTGAGGGTAAACAGGGGAAGTAGGACTAAGGGTAAACATTGGGAGTAATACTGAGGGTAACCATTGGGAGTAGCACTGAGGGTAAATTTGGGGAGTACAACTGAGGGTTGTCCCTTGGAGTAGGACTGAGGGTAAATGGGGTGATGTAGGACTGGTTTAACACATGTGAATACCCACTGGGTACCACCCAGTACCCAACCCAGAGTTGAGGTTACCCACTCCAGGGAACTGCTGTTTGATTTTTCCTATTTATTTATCTATCTAATTATGTTTGAAGTGTTTTCATAACATTTCTCTTTAGCAGTATTTCGATATGTAGAAGACACGCAAAGTTAAATTGTAAGTGACCTTGCCATGTATTCCCCTGAATATCTATTTAGTGGGAGCTGGGTGAGAGTAGAATAGTTTGGAGATGTTGCACACCTGCCTGGGTGCCAGCMTGTGCCACATGCTCTGAGTGTCCCTGCTTGAGCAGGGAGGGGTTGGACTAGAGGATTTCTAGAGGTCCCTTCCAACCTCAACCATTCTGTGATTCTGTGAACTTTTAATACTCAGTTGGTGACTGARAACTGTGACTTTACAGCAAAAAGCAGCAGTGTGAAATCAACATTTACCAGCCTACCATCAAGCTGAATCAGAAAGCCATTTTGAAGGCCTTTTAGGATATCAGGCCCTACCCTAATCCAAATACAATGGTAKATTCAATTACCAGAGACACTGATGTGTATGTTGTCCTTTTACAAGTTCTGTTGTAAATTAGGAGTTGTGTCTCCAGCACATTAGAAGCTCAGGAGTATTATCATCTGAGTTTTCAGGATGTTCCAGGGTGGAGACTCTAAAACACTTGATCCAAAAATAATGAAGCTTGGTCCAGAATGTATCATAGTTAAGTTGATAAAACACATGCAATTTTTTCCTTTTTTTTTCACATGAACAAAAAATAATTTTCAAAATTTGCCAGTCCTTGGCTGAGCCCAGTATTTGTGAAGTGCTCCTAATTTGTTCAAAGGGTGTTCAAGATGCCAAGTGTTGCATCAGTAGTAGCAGAGACCGGTGCAAGTCACTCTGTGTAGGTGGCTGAAACTAGTCGTTCACTGAAAGGCAAGCTCTCAGTATTTCCTTCAAAAACATCTCTTAAAAAATTGATCTTCYGCAGATTCTCATGTTTTCCAGCTCACCATATATTTGAGGGTTTTTCTTTTAGCTTTTCTGGGAAGTTCAGTGAAAATGTAAGAAAGAAAATTGTAAGATATTGAGGGGTAACAGATGGGAATGTAGCAGAGAAGGAGCCATGTGCATCTCTCCTTCACAAAGTGTGGCTCCTGCTCTGGGTCCAGTGCTATGCAGCCCAGTCCTCCCCTCTCAGCCCTTAACCTATCCACATAGCAAACAGAGAAAAATTCTGTCTGGAAGAAACCTCTGTAGAACCGAGTCCAACATCCTGCTATGAGAAGGGCCAACTTCAAGGTTAGAGCCGCTTGCTTAGAGCCTTATCCAGGCTTGTTGTTTTTTGATAATTGTCAAGGATGAAAAGAGACTGCAGTGGCCTTGGGAGACCTGTCCCTGTGCTGCACCACTTTCAGGGTGTTTTTGTTGCCCAGTGGAAGCTCCCTTGTTGCGCTTCATAACTTGCCTCTCATCCTTTAACTGGGCAGCTTAGAGACTTCCCGCTCTGGAGCCCCCTTCTTCTGTAGCTTACTGAGGCCTGGGCTACTCTGGGTTAAAATGAGTAGCTGCATCAGGCCCCAAGGGCAAAGTTTCTTCAAAGCAAAATCAAAAAATGGTGGAAGAGTCATCACAGATCAGAGAAAAGGGCAGGGCTGGAGTCTCATGTGAACTGACAGCAGTTGTCACAAAACAAAGCTGGGTTCAACTCTATATAAGAATAGTAGAGAATAAAGAAATCTTAAAACTATTTTTCCTAGTCATCTACTTGAGTTTTGTTTGGCATGAAGAGTAGGTGATCTGGCTTAACAATAAAGGCCAAAAACTTTAGCTCTGTTTTGCTTTCTCTTTGCTTTTATTTAGGTGTGGGATTTGGTTTTGGCCTTGGGTTTTTTGGTTTTGGCCTTGTTTTTTTTTTTTTTTTTTTTTTTTCTCCTTTTTTTTTTTTTTTTTTTGTTATTCCTTAAATCTTTCAGCTGGTCTGATCTGGGAGCTCCACACAGTTGTTTTTGTTTCACTGGCCTTGTAGCTGTCATGTGCTTTTAATAATGAGAGATTAATGTAGAAAGAGGATGGCTGCAAATGTAATTCTCTGGGATGTAAACTGCCCTTCCTCTCACTTTGCTTGCTGGCCTAAGTCGAACACAAATGAGGGCTGGTGGCTACGTGAAGGATTCAGGATGGGAAGTGGAAGGGAGAAGTATCAARTCAGAGCAATGGGAACCTAGAGAAACATCAACCTGGGGCTGAGCCTCAAGAAAAAACAGAATCTGAAGGAAACACAGGGAAAGCTGGAAGGAGGACAAGGGACCCAGGCACCACCGTTGCAGGAGGATGCATCAAAGCAGACAGATTGGGCACTGTCAAGAGGCACATGGAGATGCAGTTGCTCTGCTGGTGTCATGTGTCCATTGAAATCAAGTGTCATCTTTAAAAGCTGCACACAGTGAGTGGAATAATCACAGGTGATCTCAGGAATTTCTTTTTCCAGTTATCAAACCAACCTCATCAAATTATAATGTATAAAATGTTCGGTATTAGAAGAGGGTGATTTTCATTTCTCCTCTCTGACTCATCAGCAGGAAATGCCTCTGGTTGCTTGACCTGTTGTTTCCAATAGAAAGGGGTAGGTCAAATTCACAGACATTGAGCCGACTCTTGAGCCAAACCCCAATCTGGTATCATTGTACTGCTAATTTTTCATGGAGTGAGATCTTGGTCTCACCAGAAAATAATAATTTTGGCAGGAGGCCTTGCAGCCTACTTCTCATTTGTGGTTTTCTGATGCATGGCTTGTGAGCATCTGTTGATTAATGTGCACGCTCTATGTTTCTTTTAATAGATCTCAGGAATTTCACAGTTGCTTAAGCTCATCTAAGACTATGTGGCTGTAGGTAATGAAGTGTTTAGTTTCAATTCTTAAATGAGAGTAGCCTGACTAGATCAGTACGTGGAACAGAG